AAAAAAAAAAAAAAAAAAAAAAAAAAAAAATCTGCGAGCACTGAGAACTAATATCTTGAGTAATATGTTTGAGGTGGTGGGGGCCGAAGGCCCTGGAGGAGGGCAGTGGAGGTTTCACAGAGCTTCAAGCCAGAGAGAGAGAAAGCGTGAGTCACTTTGTTGTTGTTGTCATTGGGAGAGGCGGTGTGGGAGGACCGGAAGCAGGAGGGAATTACGGGGTCCACAAATTTTGTGAAGAGAATCAGGTAAGAAATGGAGGCGTGTTTACAATTATGAGCCTGTGTGTGTGGCTGTGTGTTTGTGCACACCAGAGGGCGCTGCGAATGGGCGGAGGGACAGGACCATGCATGCACTATTCAGAAACCGATCAGAGAGAACTCGAAGGTTTATACTCGGTCATTTTGCCCTCAGGACAGTTCTAAGGCCAGTGGATGTGTGTTAAAAAACTTTAGGATGCAAAGCCAGAGGGAAGAAAGGAAAGCAGCAGTGGAGGAGAGCATGAAGAAGGAAAGATCAAGGCGTAATATGAAATGCATATGAAATGCAGTGAAAACTTGGTAACACTTTTCCCGAGCTTCAGGGCAGTTAATTCTACTCTCAAGTAATCTCCAGATAGGCAAAATTCTGAGGTACTCTGTACCACATGCAGGGAGCGAGGACTTTGGCATCACTGTGGGTGTAGTTTACTTAGATCTTTAAATTTGTCCCAGGACTATCCTTGTGTGATAAGACCTGTGCTTTGCAAGCCCCTGATTGGTTTATGGTTTCTGTTCATTCCTCATTGACATAGTTTCTCGCTTCCCTGATACCTACTTCTTTCTGAGACGTCTAATGAAACGTTTTCAGGGCAGAGAGGAGGACGAATGAAAATAGGAGCAATAGGGATGCCATCCGGTAATGGTCCGTTTTCAGGGCAAAGTTCTGATGACGCTGAACAGCGGGCACTGAAAGCACATTGGTATTTATGGCCACAAGCTTGGTGTAACAGAGAATAAATACAACAGGGCTAGTCTTTTTATTCACGGAGTGCAGATGATAACCACCCCATTGAACAATTCATGTTTCCTATCTATCACATCTCACTCTAGTCCCAGCTCCTCTCTGTGTGTCTCTCAAGTGGGTCTGCTTAATTCTGTCCTTTGGCTCCATGGAGTACCCACCTCTTTTTACTTGCCAGGTGACCCCCTTCTCTTATTGCTGACAATCTATAGAGCAGCCCAGCTTACCCGAGTCTTTCTTCTCTGTGTTTTTCAATGCTGTTGTCTTCTCTTCTCTGCTGTGTCGTCGGCTGTGATTATATGTTCCTGGGGATCACTGGCCGGAATGCAGGGGGCAGGTGGGGAGGCCCCGGAAAGATGCTCATTTTCCTGTAGGAATATGAGCGCTGTGCTCTGAGACCTGAGGCCCTGTGGGAGAGACCAGGCAGCTTCTCTGTTGTTCAGGAGAAGCACTGGCAGCATGACAAGAATTTACTCTTGGTTTGAGAGAATGTAATTGATTCAGATTGGAAACAATTTCTCTTGAACTGAGAAATGTTCCAGCAAGGATGGGTTATCCAAGAAAACCTGGGTAGAAGTTAAATGCTGAGGACTGTGTATTTCAGGGAAGTGTTGCATACCTCCCATCAGACAAGTATTATTGTCAGCGAATGGAAATTTAAGTTTACTGAAAAAAAGAAACCTTACTAGTGGCGGTTTAAATTTGAAGTTTTAAGAATCGCTTAAGAGATTTCATATTTTATCTCCCTGTAAAAAATAAGTCCAGGCAGTTTATGTGAACATATTTCAAGATGATTGCCAAAAATACAAAGCCACAAAATAAAAATCTCTTGATTTCAGTGGATATACAGACACATAGTGTGACAAAAGGAAATTGATAGTAATAATGAATGTATTTGTGATAACTTTTCCTGAGTGTCCTGTACACACCAGGAATTGGAGTCATTGTCATATGGAAATGGGAGGATTTTGTGAGGGGACATGGAAGGGGGCCGTATCCCAGCTGATGCTGTATTGGTGATCGCTGGTTATCTCCTGCTTCCTACTGTGGCTTATGTGGTTGTGATAGGGATTATGCAATGTTGGAGCACAACTGTCCTTTATATTGTCATATCATGAATATGACCAAATTTAGAGTTATGGCCTGGAGATGTTGGGGAGGCACCTCAGATCTGGTAGATTCCCATGTCCCTGAGGCAAATTGGGACTTCCTCTCACAGTGCCCTACTGGGGGTAGCTGCTGCGTGGAGTGATGGCACCTTTTCCTCAGGAAAGCTGGGGCTCAGCTCAGGCAAGAAGGGGCCACGACAAAGACAATGAACCTTGGCATTTATGTACAACCTGACTTACACAATTATTCTCCCCAGTCAGTGCGAATCCGCAGCTGTTTAGTTATTCCTTGTGAAATTCTTTTTTTTTTTTTTTTTTTTTTTATCACTAAAGGCCCAGAGTGTTTCCTTCAAATATGGCTTCCTTGTGATTTCTCCTGTCCTTTGCCCTCTGTGAGTGTTTGGAACCATTCTACATTTAGGCAAGCTCCACCTCTACACCATTTCCACTGCCTTGGGAGGAAGATTGTGGTGATGGAGCAGAATATAACATTAGGAACCCTCAAAAGGAAGAAATTAAATAACCAATAAAATTTGGGAGAGGAAGACTTTATTATTTGATTACTATAATTTATAGACTATAAGTAAGTATTTTCACTATATGCACACTCTTGAATCATGTGAAAGTGTAATATTTCCAGTAACACTTTATTAAAATGTGAATATAAAATTAATCATTATAGATACAAATGTGGCAAAGAAGGAGTTAACTAGAATTTAAAAGTATGTTAAATTCTTTATTTGAAGAAGATGAAATATATTTTGAATAATGTTGGACTTGTAAACTATTGGTTAGCATTTTGCTCAGACTGGTAGAAGTATAGTTTATAACTCCAAGAGAGTATGAGGCATACTTTAACTTTAAACTTTAATTTAAATATGATGATGGAAGACAGAAAAGAAGTGCATAAGTCAGAGTATGTGGACTAGATAGGTTGAACGCATACTTATGCACTTGTTAATCCTAATACAAAGTGATGGTGAAAAATATGATGTGGGAGAAAACAATAGCAGGTGAGAAATTTTAAAAAACAAAAAGTAAAACAAATGTGTATTTGGCAATTGGTTTGGCAGAGTAAAGAAGTAAGGAATCTGACTGCAGCAAAAGAAGTGAATAAGAAATTAACTCTTAACTTAAGTTTTTATGAAATCATGGCTCCTGGAATTCAGGAAAGAGGATCAGGGGATCTGGAATCCAAAACAGGATATTTTCTGAAATCCACTATGCAGATAAATTAGAGGCAAGTGTTCATCCCTCTCCAGCACACAAGCAGGCAGTTATCACACTAAAAATGCTGGACTCTATTACTTTTTTTTTTATTTTAAAGACTAAAAGAAGGATAACATAATGATAGGGGGGTCTTACCAAATTACAGACAAAGTAGGAGGGAATTATCAGTAGTTATTGTTTTACATATTGTTACATACAAGATAGTTTCTCAGGTAAACAAATAGACAATAGTGAGTTACAGACAAAAGAAGTAGGAGATTATCATTAGTTGTACTATACTTTGGTATCTTCAAAGTGCCTTCTAAAGAAAATAAATAGAGCTATACATGAGTGACCTATTGAATAATCATTAACT